GCTACGAACAATTAAAAAATATTATTTTTAAAATTTTCAGAGCATCTATCCATCAAGGTGTTTTTCCTGAATATTTAAAACTTGCTAGGGTTACCCCTATCCATCAAGGAGGCGACAGATCCAATATCAGTAGTTATTGATTCATCTCTGTTCTTTCTATTTTTTCTAAAATTTTAGAAAGAATTATCTTCAATAGGGTATACAATTATTTTAATTACAACAACTTACTTCATAACAATCAGTATGGTTTCAGAAAAGGGAGTTCAACTGAACATACCATTATTAAATTTATACATAACATCTCTGAACCTTTTGAAAAATCCCAATATACACTAGGTATTTTTATTGACCTATCAAAAGCTTTTGATACGGTCGATCATCACATTTTAATCCAAAAAATTAAAAATTATGGTTTAAACAATAGAATCTTAATATGGTTTGAAAGCTAATTAACAAATCGAAAACAACTTGTTTAAAGTAACAATGGTCAGCAAAGTGAACCCCTGTATATAACCTGTGGTGTTCCACAAGGTTTTATTCTCGGACCACTACTATTTTTAATTTATGTAAACGACTTAAACAAAGCTTCCAAATTGAAAAGTATAATGTTCGCTGATGATACTAATCTTTTCTTATCCCATACTGATATTTATGAACTCTTTTCAACTAAAAACAAATAACTAAATCACATTTCTAATTGGTTCAAAGCTAATAAATTAACTTTAAATATTAACAAAACAAAATAGATTATCTTTCACTACTGTGCAAAAAAACGTTTTTTACCAAGTAATATGCCTCAAATTTATATTGATGAATCGATAATAAAAAGAGATACTGTTATAAAATTCTTAGGTGTTTACCTTGATGAGAATATTACTTCGAGAAAACTATTGATGATATAAGCACAAAAACTTTCAAAAATATTGGCTTTTTATACAAAAATTATCTGAAGAAAAAAAACTCAACCCAACTCTATTCTCATTTTTACATGACTATATAAATAACGCTATCATCGCCTGGGGAAGTACGGATAAAAGTAGATTACATCTTTATCGCCGTCAGAAACATGCAATCCACGTAGTTAATTATGCGGATCACTTTTCACATTCAAAATATTTATAAACTGAACATATTTAATGTCTTATGTTTTACTTTTATATGGAAAAACGATTTATTTTTATTTGGTTTTAACGACTTTTTTTCTTTAAAACCCATAAATAAATACACATAAAAAAATAATAGTTTTTTAAATGAACCTTTTTGTAGAACTAAGTTCAATCAATTTTGTATTGCACATCGTGCACCCCATATTTAGAATAAAATAGTATTAACAACTTTTGACCCTTCTATTACTCTTCCTGTTTTTAAAATTAAGTTAAAAAAATTCATTCTCACTATGGACAACATTCTAAAATTCTATTAAAAATGTATATATATATATATATATATATATATATATATATATATATATATATATATATATATATATATATATATATATATATATATATATATATATATATATATATATATATATATATATATATATATAAATTTATGTTAAAAATCGTTTGACAATTTTTTTTTATTAATTTGCCTCGCCTACCCGTACTTATATAAAAAAATAAACCAAAAAATAAGGAAATTTTAAAACACAATATCACAAAATATAATCAACAAATTACAATGAATTTTTGTAGGTTTGTTCTTCAACAATATATAATTCATTTGAACTAAAATGACATTGAATCTTAATAGAATTAAAAATATACATAATTTATTATGTATGCGTTAAAAAAAAAATATTAAATTGAGAATAAAAAACAAATAATAAGCAATAAATACATTTAATCATTATAAGATTTTAGTTCAAATGAACTTTATATGTATACTGAAGATACTGTAAAAATTTCAAGTAAATTGAATTTTTCTAACTTAAGATATTTGGTTTTGAAGTTACAAAATCTTGCAAAAAATCAAAGTTCAATAAAACGCAAAATAAAGTTGTAATATGTTTAAAAATATATATACAATATGTTTAAAACCCTACTGATACATAAAATGATGTTTTATTTTGACTTTGTTTATCAGAGTATCTTTTTTTTATTGCTCTGAGACTTTTTCTTCTATTTTTTACTTTTTCACTTGACTTGATCTCCATGCTCTTTACACGTGAAATATTTTGTTCATAAGATTTAGAATTTGTAACAACGCCTGATAGACCAAATAAAAGTAAAACATTTTAAACACCTTCAGTACCATCATTGTAGTGTAAAATTGCTGAATTAATACTCATTTCAAAAGTTTGTTTACAAACAAATATGTTTTTAGGGCAACGAGACCAAACCAATGCATTAAGACTTTCATTTGCATTTTGGGTTTGCCCATGTACACATTTTAACAATAATTCTTCATTTGATAGATCTTTAAACACTGGTTTCAAAAGGTTACTAATCCATAATGGTAAATTTATATGTTCTTTATAATTTGAAGTATTATGTAATTTGTCATATTGATATTGACACCAACTAGTTTCAGTTCTTGGGTAAAAGCAATGGCGAAACTCTTGATTTGAATATCCAGTACAGTAGAACAAAATAGCTCATATTGCCTTTTTCATGGCATAAATGTTATTTGTATTACTTCTTATAGCTAAACCATAAAAATTTTGCATACTATTAATCACATTTTCTGTGAGATTATTTTTTCCACCTAGTGGAGTTGGCTTTCCTTTGTAATTTTTGATTAAATTTCTTAACCGTGTACCCATTCTTTTTTGCACATGTGGAACACACTCTAACTTTTCAGGAATTATTTTATAGTCTTTATAGGGATCAGACTTTATTACTTCTTTAAAAGATGATCTCCATCTCCAAGATAATGAGTATAAATAATATTGTTATTTTTAATTGAACGTGCAAGTATTTTTACAGCCCCAGCTGCTTCCATTGACCCAAAAGATTGTTTATGATTTATATGACAGGCATGTTGAGCTTTCCAAGCATTGTATCGTGGTGAAGCTTTTTTATTTTTCCATATTCTACAGCCCATGCAAAATTTTGACATTGCTTCATAATCAACGCACTTATCACCTACAATTGCACTTACAAATCCAGTAAGGGAGGTATGTACAAATCCATTAAGGGAAGTATGTTAAGATTGATGGTGCACGTTGCCATGCACCATCAATCTTAACATACTTCATTATTGGTTTATTATCATCAGTATAGTTATCTTTCATTTCATTTGTGGCACGTTTCATACTTTCTTTAGCAGTTTTATCATAAGCTTTTGATATTTCTATATTTAGTTTTCTAAATGGAGTAGCTGCCAAACAGTTTTTCATAGATTGATACCCTTTACCTATTTCTCTAAATCCAATTATCATTCTTGTGTTTGCTTCAAATGTTTTCCTACCCTGGGCTGTATTTCCATTAAATTTACTAATCTGCTTAGAAGAATACAAAACCTTTTTCCATTCACATAAACTACACTTGATTTCAAGGTGATGGGCAAAACCCATGCGCTTAGAAAGATTATCAACAATGGTAACAAGGCTGTAACAATCTGGACATCTAACATCTTCCACGATATCACTTAAAATTGAAAAATTGATAAGTATGAAATAATCTTTATTCACTTTGTCATTTACAACTTGATTTCTATTTATCAGTGGCAGTAATAATTACTGCAAGAAAATTATTGAGTAATTTTCTTGCACTTGCACAACTTGAAGCTGGAACAATATTCAGATTGCTTTTCTGTTGTCTTTCTGCTGCAATTGTATAACGATTTCCATGAAAAAATCTTTTCTTTTTTCGTCCAAAGTTTTGCTTATTAGATACTTTAATGTTATTTCTTGAAGTACTCATTATTTATAATACTTGAGGTGAAATCTGAAAAGGTTTATAACATCAAAATTATAGAGCATGCACTAAAGATGCTTCAAAAAACTGCCAAAATTTACAATGTTTCTTAAGTTAATGATCTTTAACAATTGCACGTTTATCAGTGTATGATATAAATCTTGTTGTTCTTTATGGAAAGGTATCAAGGTAAAAAAACTGTTTACCGTTGCTAAGGGCGTAACTAAGGATTAGTCGTTGTATGTAGTTACATAAAAGCTTTAAAAACTAAATAAGAAATAATTTTTTTAAAAAAATTTTTTCAATACATTAAAGCTAAGTAATTTTCCTTCGAAAATAAAAAATAAAAAAAAACAACGATTTTTTAAAAATTTTTACACATTTTTTCTAGCTCTACCACCTTAATACAATTGATCATAAAATTCCTAATAAAAAATTAGAATATTATGGTATAATAGGCAATGTTTTAAAATGGTTGAAAAGTTATTTAACTAATCGTTAACAATTTGTTTATGCTGATAAATCATTTTCATCAAATTTGTTAAATATTACATGTGGAGTTCCTCAAGGAATCATATTAGGACCTCTTCCCCAGTGGGCACAGCGACGTTGGATTAACGTTTAAGCGACGTCGCATTAACGTTGGAAACGGAAAGTTGGATCGACGTTAATAGGCGATGTTATAACGACGTAAGATTTTGATGTTTAGGCGATGTTGTTAACCGATGTAATTTTGACGTCGAATTGCGATGTAATAGCAATGTAAACATTTGATGTAGCTGCGATGTTGTATGCGACGTCGCATCGATGTTGGAAATGGAAAGTTGGATTGTATTAAAACACGATATTAGCGCGACGTAAAAAAGCGATGTTATCGAACCATTTATAATCAATGATGTTTTATATTAAGTTTCGAGTTTTGGAAGTTAAAAGTAAAATTCTACTAAATTTTAACTTTCTTTTCAAACTTCAAACTTATGTATGTTATGCATATTAACGTTTTAGTAACGATTTCTAACGTTTTAGTTACGATTTTTAACTTTTTACTTTATGCTCCAGCTGGAGTCTAAATTCAAATAAAATAAAAAGTTAGAATATAGTTTTGGTATTATAATATATAATATAAATTTTAAGTTAACAAGTAATTTACATTTTATGCTTTTATAATTTTAAAGTTTTATACAAAAAACCGCCTTCCACCTGTGGCCTTGTCTGGAGCATAACGTAAAATTTCTTTTACACACTTTATTACGTCTTCTTTAAAAAACTTTCTATCTTTCATTGCTGCACTTGAAGCAAAAAAAAAATGCTTGAAACAGTTATTTTATTTTTAATTTATACCAATTGTAAACGCTGACTTAAACAATAATCAAACTGCATACCAAAATAATAATGTGAACATATCGCGACCAGAGAGCTTATTTGTTTTAACTCCATTTGAAAATGTTGGGAGAAAATAAGGAATGACATTAAAGATAAACGTTTTAGACAATAACTTTAACAAATTTAAATTTTAAATTTTGTTGGTTATATAACTATTAAAAACTTTATTACTTTACTACTTATTTATAGAAAATAACAAAAGAAAAATTAAATATGAATTAATGAAAGTTCTTATAGCATACTAAAAGGGGTTAAAACAAATAAGAACTTAGTTTATAATATAAAAAAGCTTTTCAAAACTAAAATAATTTATATAACGTACAGCACACAACTTTGCTGTACGTTTGACTTTTAAAAGTTTCTTTACTTGGTCTTGGCTCTTTATTTTTTTCGAGACGATTAGTTCCCCGAAATTTAAACTTGGGCAACACATCATACGTAGCCACACTAAAACAACATATTTCTATTAACATTTTAATATCAGTAACATAAAGAGGTTGTGAGTCCATAGCACTGTAACAACAAACCTTTCCATAATATTCTTCACAACATCTTTAACATCTTTACCCCCAGCAGCAGAGAGTAACAAAACCTGATAAAATTAAAAAGTTGAAATAAAACTTAACCACGACATAAACATTTTATTTTATAACATTTAAAATTAAAATCAATTTTTATGTTAGTAGGTATGTTAATTACGGTAAAGTCCCGAAGGCACTATTAAAATACAGACATTTTGTTAATTATTGATTTTCTCCAGATCTTTAAGACAATTATCAATATCATAAATTCAAAAAGTAATTTATTAACTAGTTTATTAAATTCTTCTTCATCTTCTATTTTCTTCTCTAAATTGTGTAACTCAGTCAAATCACATACTGGGGATACTTCTTTAGTACTCCAACTGTTGAAGATGTTAAATTAAGTAAAATTTTCTCAATACTTTCAAGCCTTTGATCTTGTTTGATCAAGTATTTCATTACTTTTGCTTGAAATTCTAAAAATATAAAGTCACAACTTTGAGATAAATAATTTATTATTTTTAATGTGTAATAATTTTAATTTAAAAAGAAGTTCAAAATGAAATAGAATTTTCTTTATTACATTTTATGTAATAAAAAAAACTCATATCTAAAAAACCATAGACTATTTTTGATTACTTTTTTAAACCAGAAAAATATTTTAAACAAAAATATTCTTTTAACCCATAACAAAAAATACCTGACTCAGTTAAAGGAAAACCCTTTATTTGGCAACATAGCTGCATCTTTTCTTATATACCGACTATTAGTTATTTGTTCTTTCTAAATTAATGAAATCAACACCTTTATTGATTTTAATTAAATTAAAATTAATTAACAACTTAATTAATCAAACAAATATTAAATAACATTTGAATAAATTCAAGTATAAAAAAATGATAAAAAAAAAGGTATCCATTATCAATTATAACATCACCAAGATGCAAAAGTCTAAAAAAGCTTAGATTAATAAATAAGAACTTAATCTGGATTTTATATGCATATATACATATTTTATATGTACATATATATTTTTGTATGCATAATTTAGTGCATATGCACAGTACCTCAGAATAGTTTTGGACTTGTGAACTTTGAGAGGTCTTCTCAAAATGAACCTGAAAAAAAATCTATTAATAAAATAAAACAATAATAGTATTTTAAACAAAAAGTTCTTTTTGTAAAAGAAATAATATTTATTTAGTATTGTGTATTGTTTAAATTCAGATGACTGATTTTTACCTCTTCATCATCTGACCATATATTGCTTTTCTTCAGTTTGCATATTTTCTAGTCAAAAGCATTAATAATAAAAGTAATTAATAAGAAAAATAAAAGAACCCTTAATAAGAATTAATTAAATTAATAAGAAGAATAAAAGAAATTAATATATAATTATATTAATTATGTTCATAACATAAGAAATTTTAAAGAATAAAATAAAAAAACTACTTAACAGCACTACTAGTGTTGTTATTGCCTTCGAATAAATCAACTATAAGTCAATCAGTCAAAAGTCAAAATTAGTCGAGTAAATCAACTCCAGATTTATTACTATTTGACTAAAAATCGATTTAGTAGGGTAATTATCCTAACATTCTTATTACGATTTTTTTATTTGATTTAACTTCATCAACTACATAAATATATATTTATTTTTGATTTAACTTAATATATAACTGTTCTTTAATAATAAAACTCTTTGCTTTGTTAATTGTAAAGCTGTGAAAAATTGTGAAAAGGCGGTACCCATTAAAATACAATATTTTTTTATAAAAGTTGTTATTCGAAAAATCAATAAAAAATACATTTATTTAAACTATTGAAAATTTTAACAAGATCTTTAAGATCTTCATTCACATACGTTGTTCATTTTGTTAAATTGAATTTACATACCTTTTACAATTAATGATTGTAAACATGAAAAAAAAAATATAATTAATAAATTGTTTAAATATATATAATTAAAAGTTAGAAACAACTTGATTATTTTTATTTCTATTTATTTTGCAATAATTTAAATTAAATAAATTTTTTTTTTGAAATATTTAGATCAAATCAACTTATATCAATTTAAAAATTGTGTTAACTAATTTCAGTAGACTTTTTAAAATATATTAGTCGATTTAGATGACAGTAGAATTTTTAGGTCGTAACCACACCAAATATAATTATACAAAATAATTAACTTTTAAATAATTGTTACTTGTTTTTCAGTTTCATAGCTGGAAAAAAAGGCTCTTTTGGATTTTGCCAACTAGGAAAAAAGTTATATATTAATCATCATCATCATCATCATCATCCTACTTAATAAAAATAAAACTAAGAAGAAATACAACATATAGCTATACTTTTTTTTCAATCACACTTGGTGATATTTCATTCTTTTTCACACTCGATATTTGTTTCTCTAAATGCAAAAATATGTAATGATGATATATATACTCACTTAAATGTGGATAAGAATAGAATCAACTGTAATGTAATGTAAACAGTAATCTTTATAGTAACCTTGTCGTGATAAAAAACTCCTGTTCCATAAAACAGGTTGACGTTGAGATCCACTTCTTCAAATTCATTTAAATTTTTTAAAGTTATTTTTAAATAGAAAAATTAAAACTAGCTAACCCAAGTAAGTGTGTCTGAATTAAATATAAACAAATAACTATACCTTCTCTCCAATGATTATGAATGATTATTTAATTTATACAAATTAAACAGATAAAAAATTTACATTACCTTGAATTCTAGATGGTGGAGAAGGAAATGATAGAGTATTTTGACTGTCATCTACAAATTATAGTAAATACTAACAAAATAGTATATATAAAGTATACTTTACACTATAGATTACTGTTAAAATTAATTTGTTATTACCCAATGTGCTAGAAATATTTTCCTATAGCAAAATAACAAAATATTACAAATCTAAAGTTATCTTGTGTGCTAGCAATACAAAATTTATAAGCATATTGGACCAAAATTCATTTTTTCTTTTTAATTAATATTTAAAAGATAAAACTAAATTAAATTTAAAGAAATAATAACTTTTTTTGTTTTGTTGCAATGTTTCAATAAACATTATTAAAAATTACTAAAAAAAAAATTACTTGTTTTTTTATTTAATTTTTTTTTATTGGTGCGACACTTTCACCACCTGTAGAAAACCACCCAACATCTGTACTGCACATTTCATTACAGAACTCATATGTTCCTGAATTATAATTAAAAAATTTCAATAAAATTAAGATTTAAAATTATACATATATATATATATATATATATATATATATATATATATATATATATATAGATTTATATATATATATATATATTTATATATATATATATATAAAGATTTATATATATAAAGATTTATATATATATATATATAAATCTATATATATATAAATCTATTTATATATATATATATATATATATATATATATATATATATATATATATATATATATATATATATATATATATATATAAATATATATATATATATATATATATATATATATATATATAAATATATATATATATATATATATATAAATATATATATATATATATATATATATATATTTATATATATATATATATATATATATAAATATATATATATATATATAAATATATATATATATATATATATATATATATATATATACATATATATATATATATATATATATATATATATATATATATATATATATATATACATATATATATATATATATATATATATATATATATATATATATATATATATATATATATATATATATATATATATATATATATATATATATATATACATTAGCAAATAAATAGATTTTTAGATACTAGACAAATAGATTTAGATAGACAAGTTGTATATATGTAAACATATAAAGTTGAAATATATAGGAAATTTATATATGTCAACTTAACTTGTTTGTGTATTAGTAAGTTAATATACAAGTTGTCATGAAATATTTTAACACTTACCAAAAGACCTTAACCTTAACTAGTGTAAATTTTTTCCATGAATGATCAGGATCTCTTCTTTCATGAAATGCATGTTTGACTTGGAAATAATTATTAGGTGGCCAAAATGTATGGCTTCCAAGAACTAACCAATTGGATGGAATAACACCAGAGGTATCTTCATCTTCATTTTCATTCCAAATAGCCCAACAATATGGCTCTTCTAATGTTTTATTCATTTTTTTGTGATGTTATCAACTATAACAAGAATCTCATTAGTGTGAAAAGTTAAAAAAAAATCATTATTACTAACTTTATATTATTATGTCATAATTTCAAAAAATAACTTTGAAAATTTTTTTAGAAAACTTGAAAAATATTTAAGCAAAATAAAATGCATATATAAGAAAAATAATAATCTATAAACAATAATGAAAATAATGATGAAAATGATTTTAAAAAAGAAAAACAAAATAAAAAGCAAAAAACATTACCTTTTACTATACTTATGGCTTATATTTGAAAAATGACTTTTTTATAGTGAAACACAAGGAAGTCAAATAGACAATTATTGCCATGCTAGAATAACGTTGCAACTAAAAGAAATGTTGTAATTAAAATGTAATCGTTAAAAACTAGACATTTAATTATGGCATTATTCTAAATATTTACCAGACAAGAAGGAAGTACACATTTAAAATGTGATGTAAAATAAATGTAATATAAAATCTAATGTGACTTTAGAGATAATTGGAAATACTTTTTGAAAATTTCAAATTTGAACTTTTTTTTTCAGAAAAAAAAATTCAGAAATTTCACAGAAAAAATAGAAAAAAAGTTGTATTAAAATGCATGTTTATATAAAATTTTAGTAAACATGCATTTAATCCAATAGCACTTCTGAAACACACCAATAAGTTGAAAAAAATATCAAAAAATTAAAAGAAAAAAATATCCAAACAAATTTAAATGACTTTAAATATATTAACATTCCATATTTAAACATTTAAATCCTAGAAACTTAACAAGTTGATAAAAACTACAAAAAAAAAAAAAAACTTATTCATATATAATAAATTGAAATAAGCATCAAAATTTAAATGAAAAAATATTGGTTTTATATTGAAACATTAACAAGTATAAATCCTTGAATAGATAATAAAAGTTACACTCAAACAAAAAAACATAAATTTAAAAATATTAATATATTATTTCATGATTTACTTCAATTAGTATAAAATCATTATCTTGTTCTAAACAAACTAGTTTGTAGCAAATATCAGATAAAATTACAAATTTTCTTTTCATTTTATAGAACTTAGAGATTTTGTATATTCCAAAATCTGACAAGTTACATGGGATGGTAAAAAAATTATCAATAGCATGGAAAGGAATAACTTTGCAATCAAACTCAGTATCTGAAACTATTTCTATGATACAAACAATTTCATTTGATTTCAAAATAAACCAGCCATCACGATCATTTGGAATAATTTTGTCAGTGATAGTCTTAGAGCTATAAAAAACATTACTACTTTCTAACTCACTTAAACGTTTTGCTTATTGAACAAGAGGTTTATTTGCAGTTTTTACAAACTTTTTAACAATTTGAAGAAAATTCTCAAAAGGAAAACTTGAAAGATCATGAAGGCTGCAATTGTGATAAGAAACTTCCTAATGCAAATGAAGCAAAGCATGAACATTATAAGAATAAAACTGTGACCCATAAAGCCTTTGAAGATTTAATACAAAACAAGACTATAATTTTTTTGCATAATCCAAGTAATGTTGTCGTTTCACTACATTTGAGTTGCTCATTAACGATACTGCAATACTTAAACACAGGAAGTTCTGGTAAATCTTTTGGCAAAATATCTTTTAAAATCATTGGTCCAGTGTAGAGCAAGAACTGTTGAAACTCGGTTGCTTTAAAGCGCTTAACTTCATCAAGTGAACGTGGTTGTAGTGCAAATTCACTGGGCATTTTGCCATGATAAAAAGCCAGTTTATCAGAAATTAGTTTTTTTTGCTGACATGATAAGCAACATATACGTGGGTCTTCGAGCCAAAATTTTAATAGCCGCTTAATAACACCAAGACAAACACAATGCATATAATCAATAGCAAACTCTTTTACACACAAAATTCCATAATCAACCAAGGGAGTCCTTCCTAACTGATGAGGGTCACAGCAAACATTATTTGTTCCTAATGAATGATTTAAATAAATATATTCTTTAAATTGTTCATCACTTCGCAATTGACAGTTTACTTCTGTAAAAATAACTTTTCCATTCAATTTAACATCGTTCACATGAATGATACTCTCCATGAATCTCCATGATTCTTTAAAAATGAACGAGCAGGTGCATCACAAACGAACCCCTTAATTGAAACAGGCAGAATTTTTCCATTAAATTCAATTCCGTAACTTGAAGCAATCTGAATTCAGTTAAAAAATCACCCAAATAGTCAAATAAACTAAATGATACAACCATGTGGGAGAGAAGATACTCCATTTTTATTTAAAATACTTAAAAGTTTATTGACGGTCTTCCTTGTGCATCTATTGCGTGTAGCCCATGCAGCTAGATCTCTAGATAGCACATCAGATTCATCATTCAAACTTAATTGACATTTTTCTTTGCTTGATGGAACTCTACCAAGCAATGGCGAGTTTCTATTCACATCTTCATTACGTGCAGATATATCTGATGCATAATGATAGATAATATTATCATTATTATCATCGCCTGTAAAATGCAATTCGTTGTTGTCGTTTTCAACATTATCATTAACAATAACATTGTTTTCTGAATCAAAATTCCTAGCTGTATCTTCAATATTGAGCTCCTTCATCAAAGACTTGTTAATTTCTTTGTTTTGATTTCTCCAACGTTTTAAATAAGAGCTTATTTTTAGTAATGGTTATTAAACAAAATTTCATAAGCTTAAACGCAACTTAGACAAATTTTGCAATCTTAAGCGAATTTCGAAGAATAAAAACTTGGTGTGACGCCATTTACAGATTAATATTCGAAAGGCAAGTCTTACATCGCTTTGATGTTAATTCAACGTCTCAACTCGATGTTAATTTTCGACGTCATTCTCACGTTGGCGCGATGTTGGTTTTAGGTTGGCGATGTCGCCAACAAACCAACATCGCACCGACGTGAGAATGACGTCGATGCCCACTGGGTCTCTTCCTTATTTATATTAATGATCTATACAAAGCCTCGAATTTAATAACATTTATGTTTGCTGATGACACTAATTTATTTATGTCTCACAAAAGCATTCCTACTTTATTTCATAACGTGAACATCGAGTTAATCAAAATATCTGACTGGTTTAAGTCAAACAAACTATCCCTGAACATTGATAAAACTAAATGAATTCTTTTCCATCCTCTTACTAAAAAACATAAACTGCCAATTAACATGCCTCCACTTGATATTGACAATATACAAATTAAAAAAGTAACAGTAACTAATTTTCTAGGAGTTTGTTTAGATGAAAATCTTACAAGGAAAAATCACATTAAAAACTTATCAAGTAAAATTTCAAAAAGTATAGGAATATTGTACAAAGCGAGAAATGTCTTAAATAAACAAGTTTTAGTACAATTATTTCACTCTTTTATTCATTGCCACATAAACTATGCAAACATTGCTTGGGGTAGTGCAAATAAAAACAAACTTAAACCTCTTTGTTGTCAGTTTTAAAAAATTTTACTGAGGATTTTATTAATCAAAGTAACTACTTTTCTTTTAAACAAAAGCTTAAAGAACTTATTTTTACAATCGATGATTTAACAATATACTTCTAATATTTTTTGTGATCTTTATTTTTACCATTTATTTAAACATGAACTTATAAAAAGTATATGTGTATCCTTAACAGCTATAAATTACATATATAATAGATATAACGCATCTTGAATTTATTATGGAATATTTTAAGTTTCTTACTTTTGTTAACTTGTTTTTATTTTTTAACCTTGTAATTATCTTTTAAATTTTAACACGAACTTTTCTTAGCGGTACTCGACGAAAAGACCGTATGGTCTTTTACGAGTCCCCGCGTTCTTTTATTTTCTAATAACGACTATTATATTTATATATAAAATTATTATTATATATTTGTATTTAAAATATTGTAACGAAATGCTTATTTTACATGTAATAAAAGAACGAAAATAAAATGTATATATTTATACAAATATATATATATATATATATATATATATATATATATATATATATATATATATATATATATATATATATATATATATATATGTATATATATATATATATATATATATATATATATATATATATATATATATATATATATATATATATATATATATATATATATATATATATATACATGCATACATACATACATAATCACATGATTTAATATATCACCGTGGTGTAGTGGTAAGCGCGTAGGATTTGGAAACTTATAGACTAGGGTTCGATTCCAAGATTTTTTAGTTTACAAAAAATACGTTAGATTAACATTGGAATGCCGACGTCTTACGATGTTAGTTTATCCGACGTCAAATAACATTTCCATTTCCAACGTAAACCCAACGTCGATCCGACGTCGCTCGACGTTTGTTCGACTTTGAAATGCCTACTGGGTAACATTTTACACTGAAAAAATAAATAATAATAATAAAAAAGAAGCTCATCAGAAGATATTTCGTTACAAACTTCTTTTAAGTATGATTTTAAATATTTTTTTTACTTTGAGTTATTTTATTAGCTAGTGTGTTTCTGATGTTTGTAAAACAATTGTTAAAGGTTTCAGCAATCTTTTCATTAATAAAAATGTTTTTGTTATCAGTATTTGAATGGTTTGGCAGGATATTTTCTGGATCAATCTATTTCTTTCCTATTACTGATTTTATAACATCCCAAGTTTTTTTATTAGTATTAATCTTATTTTGTAAAAGATTTGAATAATAATTTTCTTTTAGTTTGTTTCTTAAGTTTTTCAAATAGGTTTTTATAACTTTTATATGAATGTGTTAAATTGATTTTAAATTCAAAATTAAAGTGCAAAGCTATCAACAAAAACCAGAATAAAATGCAATAATTTCGTTTTTACGACAATGACAAAGAACCTGCTGAGTACACTGATTTGAAATTATTTTCTAAGATAAGTGCCATTACGCAGAATGCCTGCGTAGTTAAACAGAAACCCTGCACCTGCAACTGCAACTGCGTTGTTAAACGGAAACCCTAACAAAAATCAATAAAACAATTTAACAAAAATTTAAATAAGTATAATAATTGTAACAAAACTGTTTTTATAATAAGTTTGTTTTTAATGTAAGAACGTTTTTTATGTAAGAAACAACTATAACTTAGAATTTCTATTCGCTTCATAGTTAGTTTTTATGATTTTTTTTATTTGCGTCATAGTTAGTTTTTACGTATACTACGGCTTTAAACACAATGAACATTTAAATTAAGTTTTGCTACTGTTTTTTTCGCAGCCATCGTGACACCATTTTCTGCATAGTACACATAATAAATGTTGGAGCGAATGATTATTGTCTCCTTTGCATGAAATTTTGCACATATTATTCAATCTTTGTTTTGTTGGTGTATATTTGACATCCCCATGTCAAATATACCTATACTCTTTGTTATACAAATGCTTACTTTTAACTTGTTTTGAGTTTTTACAATAAGATTTAAGATTTGCTTCTCTAGTACTTTTTT